ACCAATTTAAATATAGTATTGTTCATTGCCTGGTACCAACGGGTTTTGCAAATTCAAAAGGAGGCCAAAAAAGTCACAATCCTACTGTTTAGTTTCTCGCCAGTGCATTTCCACTATTTCAAAGAATTTTGTTCCATTTTTGAATTTATAAAATGAAGTATTCATGGATTCTGTCGCATAAATGTAGTAATTAATGCCACGCAAAGCCACAAAGTCTTATCTGGCATCAGATTTACATCATCTTTAGATTTTAATGTTTTAAAAACAAAAGAGAATTTTTTTTCAATGAATTTCCCTGATAGTAAAGCATTTTGTTTTATTCTGAATGAAATTGTTGTTGAACAAAAATTTGTTCGCTCCATTTTCGCGTTTTTTTTTTAATAAAACAGAAAGCAATTACCTTTTCCTCCGTACTTTTCTCTTTGTGACCACCTCAGAGCCAGCTGACATGTTAGTTTTTTGTTTTGTTTTTTAGACTAGAGACAGCTTACTGAATACCAAATAGTCTCAAAATCCATGTTCACCACCAAAAGTCACTATTAGGAACAATTTCAGTTAGCCTACTTAAGTAGAGATTGTTGATCAACTTCCACTATTCATTTTAATCTGCACTTAAATGGTCAATATTGGCTATTAAAATATGAGATATGCAACTCTGTGTTTGTACCAAACAACCAAGATTGATAGGTAGGTTGTTTAATCAATTCCACCAAAACACAATCAGCTGTTCAGCACAAAATGAAAGCAAACAAGCAAATGCAACAACAATTTCAAGGAACAAGCAGCAGTGCTGCCAACTGTTTGGTGTTTTTAAATGATGAAGCTTTCTAAATCGTACGTTTCAATTAAAGAAAGGTCTTTGCTACAATTTGACTTAGGCTATCTGCACACTTGTCGTCCAATCACAGTTGCGTTATCGTCTCGCCTTGAAATTTTGAGCCGAGCACATGCATTTCAAAGGAGATCTGCACACTTGTCGTTATCGGCTAGTTATCGGCAAATCGTAGAAGATGCACAAACGGATAAGTACGGCACTGTCGTTTGTTTACATTTTATGGGGAAAATTAGTGAAAAGTTAATATTTGCATTAAAATGGCATAAAAATTAGTATTTTTTGCATAAAATCTGTGGAAATTATTAAAAAGTGGATAATTGCATTAAATTTCAATAAGTGTGAGGGATTTAACTATAAAATATGACGAAATTGTAAAAAGTCTCTGTGTGCATGCACAAAACACATTTCAGGAAAAGAAAAGAAGAGATATTACTGAAAAATGATATCTTGAATTGTTGCAGCACAGTCTATATTTTAAAAATTGCAGGTTTTTGTAAATATTTCGTGAAAATATCAACCAGAAAAACAGAGAATACCTGCTCCAAGTGAATTTTTAGACGCAAAATGAATTGAAATATCACGACCGAGTGTGCGAAAGTGTAGTCGTCATGTAATCGTTGCATCATGATTGTGACGATGAAGCAACTATGATTGGACGACCAATGTGCAGAAAGCCTTAAACAGCATGGCTTAGGGCCGTTTGCACCATGTCTAGTTAATTCTAAAGGCTCTGTTATGCATACTTGGCATGGCTTGAGAGTTATCACATAAGAAATCTGTTAAATGAGATCCGCGTGTAAGCGGTTATCCAACGCACAGCAGTACATACGTAGAAGTCTGTTGGTTTTTGATTTCTACGTAAAAATGGTATAGCAGTGCATGCACTGCCAAGTATGCATAACAGAGCCTTAACTCCCAGTTAAACATCTTTATCGACGTTATCGACACCCATCATATAACATGTGATCGATAAAGCAGTTAACGTGCTTAACTGAAGGATGTACCTCCAGTTAGCGTTAACTAGACATGGTGCAAACGGCCCTTACTGGTGTCAAGTAAATCTTATGCATTATGGAACGAATTTCCGTCATCCCTTGTCAAATTTGGTTTGGAGACAAACCGGTTTCGGCGTTGTGCCATCTTCAGTGTCATTTTTCGTTCTGCATAATTTTTGTTGGTTGCTCGTATTTATACTCCTTGTTAACTACCTCTTTCTTTTGTTAGGTACGTCTTTTTAGTTTTGCAGTGTTTGCGGTACTCAATAGGTAGATGAATTGTTTTGGCTCGTTTTTGACGGCAGGTAGAAGTCCGTGATTTTTACCCCCTTTGTTTTTGCAGTCGGTGTATTCCCTTCCATATCTGTCCTTAATATTTTCTTGTTGTCATTCTTCTTCTTGTACAGTAGTTTTAGAGGTTCAAACAGTACGTCCGATGCAGTATTTATTTGCTCATTTATTATTTGGCCTTTGAAGGTCTTCTGTTTATATATTTCCATATTTTCTAATATATTCAATCTTTGTCCTTTATGTTGTACACGGAGAAGTTCTGTTGTTTGTCCAATCTTCATTGGTGTGCATTTATTTTTGATCATGTGATTCGCGAAGTTCGATTCTATTGCAGCCTCTGGTTTTCGTTTTTTCTTATTATAATCCCTTATGTGTTCTCGATACCTTGTTCTTATATTTCGCCCTGTTTGTCCTATGTAACTGTGTCGGCACTCACAGGTTAACTTGTAAACACCCTGTTTATCTAGCGGGTCTTCCTCGCTTATTTTCTCTTTCAATATATTTCCCACTGTGTTCCTTGTTTTAAATGATGTCTGAATGTCGTACTTAAAAATAAAAGCCAATAATAAAAAACTCATGAAGAAGAAGTATGAAAGGTTGAACAAGAAACTCGTTAACTTGAGGGCGAAGCAAAGCAACCACAAAATCATGAAAGATGCAGAACAGAAATTCCACTCCCGATTTGTAAACTTGACGGAGGTTTACATCAATGAGCAAGAAGCAGAACTATTAAGAAAAGGCCTCAAACACAACATTGAAAGTTACAACCAAAAGAGGGAACTTGAACAAACTATCGTGGATACTGAAGTTATTATATCACGGCTTCCAACTGAAGAACAGGAGCACGCCAGACACATATGTCGGCACATAATTGAAAAAGACATAAATGCCAAGAAAACTAGGAAGCAGAAGAACGAAAACCAAACCATAAAAGGGCCCAAAGAAAAGCTAAGGGCAAACAATGTTATAACCACAAAAGCAGACAAAGGCAATACCACCGTATTAATTGATAAAAAAGATTACATAGAGAAAACTGAAAGTCTAATAACTGAAATAGGGTGCAATAAATTGGGAAAAGATCCCACTGAAGAATACCAAGCAGCAATAAAGAATACCATAAAGAAAAGCACAACCATAATAAAGGATAATCTACCATATAGACTAACACTTATGAACCCGAGTGTCCCTCCGTTGATTGCCTTGCCAAAGACACACAAACCAGGCACCCCGATGAGACCTATCATTAATTACAAGTCTGCTCCCGGATACAGACTCTCCAAGCACCTAAAGACGCTGCTGAAGGATAGTCTGGATCTACGCAATAAATATACTGTTACAAATACAACGGAACTAATCGAGAAGATGAAATCGTTGAAGATCAACGAAAACACTAAATTCGTATCATTCGACATCAAGGACCTTTACCCATCGATACCAACAATAGAAACCATAAAGACCGTACAAGAAATACTGATGGGAAAAATGAAAAGAGAAGCTGTCACGGAAATAATAAACGCGTTGAAGGTCACATTAAAACAAAACTACTTCCGGTTCAACAATAAGATATATAAACAGATTAACGGGTTAGGAATGGGCAATCCGACGTCAGCAATACTCATGGAAGTATTCATGCAAACACTGGAGGAGAAATACATGAAAAACCTATCGACCAACCTAGGAGTAAAATTCTACGCGAGATATGTCGATGATGTAATATGTCTAATAGAGGGAAACAAAGAGAAACAGATACTAGACTATCTCAACAAACAACACCAGAATATAAAATTCACCATGGAAACGGAAGAGGAAAGAAAGATTAACTATCTGGATTTAACAATTAAAATAAACGATACCACGAAC